AGCTGAAGCCATTTTAATTCCTCTTCCTGGCTTCCAGGGAAGTGGTTCAGGTTCTCTCTAACTAAGTTCTAATTACCCACCACTTCCAAGAAAAAAAGTTATGATCCTCTCCCACATCAGCACTTTAACAGAGCATTATTTAACCTCATGGCTGCAGGTAAGGAAAACCAGAGCTGAGGCATCAGGGAGGAGAGAATGTGTGTTTGTTCACCTGTGCAAGGCCTTCCTGAGCCCTGGGGAGCACCTGCACTTCAAAAGCTCACAGGAAGTATGTGACAGCTGGAAGTTGAGGTGCAATTCTCAAATGAAGGCATTTTCTCAGCTGAAACTGAGGAAAGGCCACTGCTTCCTCTGCAGATTTAAAAGAGCCTGGAGGAGGGGCAGGAGAGGGGGATTAGAGGCTGGGATTCATCCAACCCAGTTTCAGGTGCTTTAGTCTGAGGAGGACTGCCTCTGGGGGGTTTCCCTCATCCTGATGGTTGGTCTAGGGCAGATCCAGTGACTCTTGGTCCCTGAGGGAAACTCTGGATGGAGAGCCCAGTTGGCCACGCTGCCCTCCAGCTCTCTCAGAGTGTGGGGGCTCAGTCCCACCCACTGTGCCCCAAGATTTTTCTGGACAGATCTGTCATTGTGAACTGAGACAAATACCTCAAATAAAACCTCAATTAAACCCAAGTACCGGTGCCCACCTGGTCTATCCTTCTCAAAAAACAAGTCCAAGAGTTACAATTTTTGCTGCTGCACATAACACTTTCCTATTTATTGTAAGAATTCACACATGTATATATGTGCACAGGTGTATGTGTGCAAGATAAAGAACAGCTTTTCCTGTTGCACAGTTTAATGAGTGCAGTTGAATAAGCCCTTTCTCTCAGGACCTTTGTTTGATGGTGATGGAGCAGGGGTGCTGCTCTGGCTCCCCTCAGACCAGCCAGAGAACTACTCTCCAGAACATTGACATTCCAGTGGAAAGCAGCAAAATTAATATTAACTACAGAAAGGAAGGGACTGTTTCACTTTTGTTCCAGTTCAGACCTGCAAGCGTGACATAAAACTTGGGAAGAGAAAACCAAGACTTTTGGGAAAAAAAAAAAGCAAGCAGGTTTCCATTCTGGATTGCAAACGAAATGACCTGGACCTAAGCAGGGTGCTCCATAGGCAACTCTGCATTTCCATTGCTGGCTCGGTGAGATGTAAAGGATTTTTTTAGGGAGAAGGTTTGTTTCTTGAGCTGCAAAGGACCAGTCACCTGCTGTGTATGTTGGCTGACACACCTGTGATGAAAGACACCTGACTGGTGTCAAGACAAGTGGGGACCAACCAACTCAACCCAAGCTTCCACTGGGACAGGGTGCTGAGCCAAGATATGAGTTGCTTTAAATGAGCTTTAAGGCCATGGAAAAAGAGACAGCCCTTCACAGGATCTCCTCTCAATGCAACACCAGCACCACATGCCTTTTTGGTAGCAGTCACCCATACTGGTGTTATCCTCTAGGCCTGTGTTCAGCACCATGCACATGGTGTGTTTATCACTGTTTCATCCAGCCCTTCCAATCAGGATGGGCTGTGAGGTCGCTCTTGGTCCTCCTGTGATTTTGGGGGTGCCACTCAGCCTCCACCTGCCTCTCCTCACTCTAAGTGACTGCTCCTTGAGGAGCACCATCCTTCCCAAGATGGTTTTCAGTGGTTCTTCTCTGTTGTGGTAGGAAAAGGATCCAGGAAAACAATGGGGCAAATGGAGGTGGGGTGGATGACTGGGAATGATGGGAAGAGGGACATGGGGCAATAAGGAGGTGTAACTTTGCCCCTGTGTGATGGGTGGTGTTGGTACATCACCAGTTTGTGAGCCAAACCCTGTACTGCCCAGCTCTGGGGCTCCTGCAGCAAAGTCCCAGCCCGTGGAGATCTGACAGTCATAGAATCATAGATTATCCTGAGTCTGAAAGACCCACGAGGATCATTGAGCCTCACTCCCAAGATGTGCATCTGCCACTTGCTTGGCATAAAAAGTGAAACCAAGTCCACACAGGACCACAGCATGTGGGCATAGGAAGGGTGTGCAATCCCCCCCTGGGCAGAAATGACAGCCAGTGTGAGGAAATGAAAGCAGAGAGAGCAGCATGTCACCTGCACAAAGCCAAACGAATAAAACACCCCTGGAAATACTGCAAACAGCCTCAGAAATAGTCATTCCTCCAGGACTGACTCTTGCACCCAGAGCTGCCAATGGAAGTTGTGTCTGAGCACCGTGAAGGGAACCAGGCATCTGAAACACTGGGATGGGTGGGATCAGCTCATATCCAGACAGATATTCCATAGCAACAAAGTACAGTAATTCAGGCTCCAGCACACTCCCAAAGGGAAGGTGGGTATCTAGGTAGTCCCTATAACCCAAAAAAGAACATGTTTTCTAGCACTGCCTGTGTCTTATCCTGTTCAGCCGTTTCTGTAAGAGCAGTTTTAAATAAAGGGCCAGACACAAACCTATTCTTTCATGCCAGGGCATGGCAACAGGACATTTTTAGGTAGAAGAGGTCGACTGCTCTGAATAGCTCATTCCACAAGGAACTGCCCAGGATGGAGCTCAACCATGCAATTTAGCATCCCCCACGCCTCACGTCTTTGACGTGGATATAAGGTAATAACAAGTTCCACTGTTACTCTACCCAGCACTGCCTCAGATAAGTCTGAATAGGCTCAGATAAAGATGGATAAAAAATGGCAGGGTTTCTGTTTCAAGCAGAGGCCCCTGGAAATCAAGGCAGATGGAAATCAAGATGCACATCATCCAATGCTGGAAATTAACATTACATTGCACAGGACTTTTCAGACTGAAGGATACCAGAGACTTAGCGACAATATTCACCCCTTTTTGCATTCCTCTTACATCCAGAATGGGTGGAAATACAGTAGAAATGTATAATCATCCAAGATAAACCACAATTAGGCTCATTTCCAGGGCTGTATTATATGGAGAGAGAGCTCAGGAAAAGCAAGGTTTTAGTGAGTTGTGGGAGAGTGTATCCCCTTGTGACTGAATGATTATTTTCTCTGAGGGGTCAACAGAAGCTAAAGAATATACATGAATAAACAGAGAGATGGAGCCAAGATATTTTGGGTGTGTCCACACTGGAGTCCTTCCTTGTGAAGGTGGACTTTTCATATATGGAAAGCCCAATCTGTGGGTTTGTTGTTCCAGAGCAAATTTCAGAAGGCTGCAGAAGAGCCCATTCCCTGCGACAAAGGAGGGACTTTGAGGAAGGTCAGTGGTGGCAAAGGATGGTCAAGGATGGCAAAAATGCAGCTGGGGCAGGAGACACCAGGGTGGCACCAAGGCTTTGGCTGTGCCCTGAGCTCCCTTCACTGCACAGGGCATTTCAGGGCTCTGCTTCCAAGTGGGCCACCTTGTATTTAGCTCTATTAAAACTGAGGAAAGGCTTGTGGTCAAGTGAGATGCTCCCAGCACAGAGCTGGGGCAGGTGTCTGAGCTGATCTCCTCCTCAGCTGGGGATGGAATGAGCACAGGATGGGTGGTTCTGGAGGACCAGGCTGCAGGACAGATCCAGCCTGAGGTCACAGAGCCCACAGTGCATCTCTTCCATGTCACATGTCCCACATCTCCCCAGGGGAGCCCATAGCAGAAAAGATAACAACCTCCAGGCTCAAAGTCCAGAAAAACAGCTCCGTGGAAAAGGCCAAGAGGCACCATGAACATCTTCAGCATCCCTGGCTATGAAAGAGCAGGGATTTATTGACTCAACCCAATGAGGAGTCCCAAGATAGCAGGAGGAGGCAGGAGATCAGGGTGACATCACTTTCAGCCATGGCACAAAACCTTTGCTCCCAGCTGGGAGAACTTGGCAACTGCTGACACAAAGTCCTGCCTCGGAAATAACATCATGAGACCCATGTGTTTGCTGGTGGAAAGGGAGCTGGAGGAGGACAAGGGCATCCTGTTTGTGCAGGGAGGAGGAGGAGGAGGGGAGGCTCACCTGGCTGTGCCAGGAGGAAGGTGAGGGAGGGCAGTTGGGGCTGTTCTGATCTGCACCACTCCGGCTCCTGTCTGTCCTGGCATTGCCTCCCACCTGGCACCTCGGGGGAACGGTGAAACCCCGCGGAAGAGGAAGGCCAATGCCCTGTGAGTGTCTAATCTCTACTCTGCAGGCTCTAATCGGCCCTTTTAGCTGCGGTGTGTAAAGAGCACCTGGATGATTCACCCTCTAAGTGCTGCTCTGGCGGGGCCAGTTTGCTTCGGCTGCCGTAACACTTGTTTACATCAGTGCCAGGGCAGCCTCGAATGAGCGTGAGCCTCCCACAGATGTTAATTCATATCAGCTCTCCTTTGTGTTAAATATTTATGTTTCTAATAGGCACGCCTAAGAAAAATACTGGCAAGTAAAGCCTGCAGCTCAACTCCACTACAACTCAATTTTATCTCAGTGCAACTTGCATCTCAAACCAGCAGGACGAGAAAACACTCTATTTACAGAGCAAAGCAGCCCAGCAGCTCAGCCATTAGTAATCTATTGATTAGATGACAATAAAACCTATTGATGAGAACTTGCAAAGACTTTCTGTGTCCGCCTGGACCCAAAACTGTGCCAGAAAGGCAGACGAGCTTCCAGCAAATCCCCACGGCAGCAAAGCATAAAACAATCCAGGCCCAAAACAACGCCGTTAATTGGTCGTTGCACGAAATCAAAGCTGGTCTGTGCAGAGAGCTAAACGAAAAGCATGTGTCCTCAGAGCTGATATGGAGCCTGGATGGGTTCTTGGCAAGCTTGGCAAGCTGCTCGTTCCAACCCCAAACGATGTAAATCAGCGTGGGCTCATTTCAGTAGAGACATCCTGGCTTACACCAGGGGAGATATTTTTTTAAAAATATGAAACTTATTACTTCTTTTTTTTTTTCTTTTTTTTTCCTACTATCCCACTGAACAAAAGTCATTAAACAGTCCTGGCCTTATTAAAACTGACGAGGGTGCAGGGAGGCTGCTTACCTTGCTGGAAAGTGCAGAGTGTCCTCACAGGTCTCCCTTCTCCACCAAACCCAGCGCCTTCTCTCCTCTTTGCCTAGTTTCAAGGCACTTTTTGTTCGCTGCTCTGCTACCTTGTCAGCTCGGGAACAGCAGCGTTCGGTAATTCAATCCTCTACTTAACCGCAGAGACACTCCTACTCGGAGATCACACCCATTCCCAGGCTCAAGGGGGGACAAAGAGGGAGCCGGTACGGGAGAGTTTCAACCAACTCTCTGTTTGCATCAAATATCCCCCAGCTCTGAATTCACAGGGCAGTAATGATTAAGTGCTGCTTTCATTAAAAACCTGTTTAGTCCAGATTTAAAAGGGCACAGGAGGAATTCCCCCCCCCTCCTTTTCTCAGTCTCTGCTGGACAAAGCAAGGTGCGGTGCTGCTCAGTGCCACTGTAACTCTTGGGACTAAGAGTTCTGCCTCCAGTCTCTGGCTCTGACTGTCCCGAATTTTGGCAAAGCTGTTCCGAGGGGGAAAGTGCCCAGGGAAGGTTCCTGCTCCTCAGCTCCCTGCAAGGCCGAGCTGGGTCTCCCTGTGCTTGCAGCCTGGAGCCCTGGGTGCATTCAGGGGCTTGAGTGCCGTCAAGATTAGTGACTGAAATGGGAATGTAACAGAGCATTGGAGTGTTTAACCGGGCTGCCCTCCCAGGAGAAAAGTAATGATAAACCAGACAGCCCCAGCAGTGTTTGCCAGAGCCACCTTTGGCAGCAGGAAGCTGTGTCTGTGGATTCTTGTAGCTCATTGCTGAGAAAAAGTTACCTGTGAAGGATGGCTGTAACACGCAGCCACTGGAAGCTGCCCTGATGCCACTGGCTGTGGGTGACCTGAAGATAAACCATGTCCTGTCATTCCCTGCTGTTCCTGCCTGGCATATCCATGGTGCTGCTCACTGCTGATGGAGGGAACATCCCCCTCTGGAGAGGGGAGGAGGCACCACTTGCTACCCTGTCACCAGCCATCAGCTCTGCCTTTGGGGGGCCCGGGACTGTGTCCATCTGTGTTTTGAATGTCTCCAAGAATGGAGACTACGTGACCTCTCAGGACTGGGAACCATCCAAGTCCTTTCCTTACTGCACATCGAGCTTCTCTTGTCACTTCCCTAATTTTCTAGATTAACCCACACAATCTGAAAATAAATATGAGTCACCTCACCAGCCAAACCAGGTGTCTGAACAGGTTTAAACCGCAGTTTCCACAGACCTTGTGCACTGACCACTCTTATACCTGTGGGACCTGTGGTGGGAAGAATGCCCAAAATACCGGTGACATTAACTACAGACCGGTTTGCCACCAACCACAGGGTGGGGCTTGGACCTGCTTATTCAGCCTGGGTGTGCCCATATCTGAGAGGAACACTGCAGAGATCTTAATTCATGGTTAAAGATGCAAAACTGCCTCTTAGCAAGTGATTTCTCCCTTAATGTCTGCAGGCTACAGCTCATAAAACCCGTAACAGCTTTCACCTTTCATTTTTCATTCTTTTCGTTTTGCCTGAGTGTCTTCCTCCAGTCCACAGAAGATGGGGCCCTGCAACAGGGTTTGCTTTTATCTTTGGAGGCCACCCTGAGCCCACTGCTGGCCCAGTGGTGACGGTCACACACCAACAGCTCTGGTGGGAGGCGTTGGAAGATGGAGTGAGGATATCTCCAAGCACCAAGCTCCACTGTGCTCTGGTTCTTTTTTAACCACCTAAACTAATTATCCCCAGCACCAATAGTTTAGTTAATAATTGCTGTGTGTCTGGGTCCTTTTTGGTGCTGATGTATGCTGTTGTAGAGCAACCCACCAATCCATGGTGGTGGCTACACGAATTTGAGCTCTGGGGTGAAGCCTGCTATTCCTTTACCCACAGCTTGGGTGATGCACTTCAGGCTCATGCAGAGGTGATGCTTGAGCTGCCTATCCCCACTCCTTTCCATCAGCACAGTGAAAAAGTAGTAAATAAATCCTGGTGAGTTTTTAAGGAGACTAAAACTGCATATATAATATATATATATATATATATGATATATATATATATATATGCTATATATATATTAAAGCAGTTTAGAACAGTCAATGCTGAGGGAAAAGATGTTTGTCATAAAGCACAGGCTCATTTGGTGCTGAGCTGTAGGCACTTTTGCTTCCTGCTAATTCTGGTCATGCCATGAGGTTATAGAGCAGAAAACATTATTTCCAAGCAGTTTAACTCAGTACTGGTGGAAAACAGAATAGCCTGACTTTCATAACTGAAACATGATCTGAGATGTTCCTGTCCAGCTGTTCTTCCCATGTGCACAACTTGGTGCTCTCGTATCCTGGACCTAAGCCTTGACCTGGTATTCCCAGAGCTCAAAGGCCTTATGGTTTAATATTTTTTTCATGCATACAGATGTCAGATGAGGCTGTTTTCAGTGTCCCAGTGTGAGCCCAAGACACTGAAGACATTGTCATAGGTCCACACTGGGGTAAAACCAGAATCTGCTGGGAGGAAGAGTCCAGAAGTGCAAACTCAAGGTTTGGCAGTGGGATGGCCCACATCTGCCTCAGCCTTGACCATCCTGCGTGCCTGTGGACAAGGTGAACATTGTGCATGGGGAAACAGGCTCTGCCAAGGATGTATTTGCAAAATGACACGTTGCAAAGGTATTTCCACCCCGCTTTTGGGTATGGAGCTCTGGGAGGAAGAGGGAAGGGCCAAACCCTGCAGATGAGATAACACAGCAGGGGCCTCATGCTTTGGAAAAGCAAGGGAAGGAGGCAAATAAACCCCACAAGGTGCTTGAGCAGCTAGTGAAAATACCCTTTGCTACTTATATGAGGTTGAATGTCCTGACCTGTAATGGCCAAAGCATTGCATGAATTTCTGAGAAGTTTTCAGGAGAGCTTTCCTTGACCCACAACCAAAGCATGTGACATTTTACTGCCCATCCCTCACATAGCCTTGCTCAGGTACTCCTCTGCCCTACAAAATCATTATGTCCAGATGAAAATCTACATAGTGCCTCTCACAGGTCTACCTACTGAGAGGAGGATTGGGTTATAACTTAGTGCTCCCTAACCTGCTGTGCTCCTGGGTGTGGGGAAAAGGATGAGAAAGCAATACAAGAGCATGTATGTCAGCTGCAAGATCATCTCTCAGGGAAAACCTCTTTGTTCTTTCCAACTACCCGAAAGGAGGTCGTAGCCAGGTGGGGGTCGGTTTCTTCTCCCAGGTATCAAGTGATAAAATGGGAGGAAATGGCCTCAAGTTGTGCCAGGGGAGGTTTAGATTGGATATTAGGAAAAGTTTCTTAACCAAAAGGGTTGTCAGGTATTGGAGCAGGCTGCCCAGAGAAGCACTGGAGTCACCATCCCTGGAGGGATTTAAAAGACGTGTAGATGGGGCATTTAGGGACATGGTTTAGTGGTGGCCTTGGCAGCGCTGGATTGATGGCTGGACTTGATCTTATAGGTCTTTTTCCAACCTAAATGGTTCTATTCTACAATGTGAGGACCTCACTTGTTCGAACTTACAACTTGATGAAGCAAAGGACCCCTCGAGAAGTACATCTCAGGCAGCCACAGCATCTAACCCGTGAGCAAGGCAGGGGTGAACAGCAGCCACAAGGGACTGAGCAAAAACCAACCTCAGGGGTTGGCCCAGCTGCCTGCAAAGGGGTGGTTTGATGCAGAAAAGTGAACACAGCTTTGCTCTTTGTCCTGGCGGGCTCAGTCTGGTGCAGGTGGGGACCTTGTGTGGGAATGGTTTTGCAGGACAGAGCTCTGTGGGCACCAGCTGACCAGGCAGCACAGAGCTGCCCCTGACAGGTAACAGAGTGCTGGTTAATGGTTAACAGCAGCAAATGGAAATGTCTTGGGACAGGAGAAGGTGCCTGGGCATTCGGGTGAGGAGCGCTGCTGTGTCACAGTGCCGCAGTGCAGGGCCGTGCTCTGTCACAGGCACAGCCATCCTGAGCCATAAGGAGTCACTGCATCCTGCCCTGCTCAGCTCATGCCACTCGATGGCTCTCAGCACACAGAGAGGCCTCGATCCTTCCAACAAGCCCTCCCAGCACAGCTCTGGGGCATCGCTGCACACGGAGCCCTGGGAATGGTGGATCCTGTGGAGGCAGGGGTAGGACAGGCCCCAGTTCTGCAGAAAGGAGTGGCCTTGGCAAGCCAAGGACACGAGGGTAAACATTGATTTCGGGCAGGAAGAGCTTTGGTGAGAGCTCTAGAGAGCTCTTCCCACCTGTTGGTACCTTCTCAGAGCCAACAGCTCGCAGCAGGATAAGGCAGGAGCACTCTGTCCACAGGGGTTACAACACTGGGGCTGATAAACCTGTAGCTGTTGCTCCAATTTATTGCCTCTCAACGTTAGTGTAAACCCCATTTTATCCAGCTATTCTGAGTTGTGCTTTGGGAATATCGGGCTCGTGTTTCCTCAGGTTTATGGGGAAAAGCACCCTCTTGTGAAAGAAAAGGAGGGAGGTCCAGAAATGATGACACCTTGCAGCACAACAGCAGGAGATACCAGGGCTTCTGGTCATCTCAAACTCCTCTTCTGTGTCCTAAAGTATCTATAACCCATATCTGATGGTGGGAGGCACAAGTCTGAGTCTCTGCTAGCCAGGAGAAATACCTCAGTAAATGTAACTGCACTGATACAATGATGGGACATAACAACACTGATGGAAACAGTTGTACCATGCCAGACCTCCCTCGGTCTGTCTGTGCCTGCTCTGGCTGCTCCTGATGGTTTTGCAGAGTGATGTACAGCAACCTGTTTTCCAGAATTACGTTTGGGAGAATTACATCCTTCCAGATCTCAGGGAGGACAGTTATTCCAGACTTCTGAGGGTGAAAAACTCCTGTCTTGGAGTAAAAGAGCTGCTGTCCCCTCTCGGGAGGTTAATCTGCACCTCGCTGGGCACAGGTCAGCGGGGAAGTGACAATCCCTGGGGGTGGCTGCCCTGCCTGTGTGCACTGTGGGTGTGGGTTCCTCTGCACCTCTCCCCGTTTAATCTCGCCCGCCACTGCCAGGAATTAGCAGGTGCACTGAGAAAACAGGACAGCCGAGGTGAGACCATGACGTGGCTTGGGCAAACAGCCGCCCTGGCAGCCTTCCAGCCAGAGGAGGAATGTGGCACGGAGGCCCCTGTGCAGATCTGGATGTATCCAGACTGTTGTTTCATCCGGGGAAACCTCCAGAAGGACCTGAGTCCCCCAGACCCATCACCCCCAGATCACTG